GATACTAATTCATTTTGCAAAATCTTTTATGAATTTATGAGTTTGGAAAATAAGCTTTATATCTTTGAGAAGCAAGCTTAGTGCTCTTATTTATTGTTTTAAAATGAATATTTTCATGAGGAACCAAAGGAGCTCTGGTTGGTTCTCATTATTGGGCCAGAGGATTTTGGTTATTGATTTGGARGATGAGCAAGTTTTTACTATACATATTAAGTGGATTAAAGGTTTTGTATTTATTGATAAGAGCTTCTATGTCAAAATCATGTTTTTGAAGTTTTAAGAAAAGGAGTTTTATACTTAGAATCTTTTATGAAAAACAGACCAAAGAAGCTCTGGTTGACTTACACGTTGAACCAGAGGGGCTCTGGTTGGTCATGGCTTTTGAAACCAGAAGTTCTGGTTAGTTCAACCAGAGGCTCTGGTCGAACATGAACTTTTTATAATTGTTTGTTTTATGAAAAAGGCTATCTTATTGATTGAGAGTTTATCTAAATATCACTTATATGAGTGATGTTTTGGTTAGTACAACCAGAGGCTCTGGTCGTGAAGAGCAGAAGCTCTGGAAGAGAGACCAGAGAGGCTCTGGTCTTAGATTTTGAAATATATTCTAAGTCTGGTTGGTTCAACCAGAGGCTCTGGTCGTGAAACCAGAAGCTCTGGAAGAGAGACCAGAGGGGCTCTAGTCCTGGATGTTGAATTATATTTTAAGTATGGTTTGGAACCAGAAGCTCTGGAAGAGAGACCGGATGGGCTCTGGTCCTGTGTCGAAATATTTTCTAAGTGTGGTTTAGAACCAAAGGCTCTGGTCGTGAAGACCAGAAGCTCTKGAAGAGAGACCAGAGGGGCTCTGGTCCTGTGTCAAAATATTTTCTAAGTGTTGTTTGAAACCAAAGGTTCGATGGATTGAGGCAGTATGTTTTTAATTTTACTTCATAAGATGAATGATTTGAAATAAACGTTTTGGTGATCTTCACCCTGCATTATATAAAAGGGAACCTCACTAGACATTAATGTCTAACCCTCATTTTCGTGTTTTCAAATTATGTGTGCAGGTAATGATAAGGGAAAGTGTATTATGTAAATTACTTCCCTATATGCTTAGCTGTTTTGGAAGCATAGATGCTAGGATACAAGAGCATGTACTTTTGGAATWTTTGGGCTATGTATTTTATATTATAGACTCTTGTATCAAGGACCTATGTGGGGAAAACATGTATTCTATATATGAAATATGTGTTATATGCAATGTGTGGATTTGGGGCGTTACATAAACACAACTATTTCCCATTTTGGACAGCCTAAATAAATTAGCGTTTCCCTTTAAGCAAAATTTGAATCCAAAATTACCTTTTTCCCGTTAGTAATTACAAAAACTAATAGTATGACTTCAGTTTACAAGATTCCAATATTTTGTCAAATTAATTAACACACCTAGTAGTTAGAAACTACCTCCCACCCTCCGTCTCAAAATAAATGCAACAATTTTCTTTTTGGACGATTAAATAAATGCAACGTGTCCCTTTAAGCAAAACTTGAACCCAAAAGTACCACTTCACACATTAGCAATTACAAAATATTAAGAGCATTACCTATAGTTTACAAGATTCCATTATTTTGTCATTATTTAGTGCCAAATTGCAATGGGTATTGGACAAATATCTGATGGTCAGAACTAAGTATATACCCCTCCAATTTCTCTTTACACGATGGTCTGAATAAATGCATCTTACCCCTTCTGCCAAAATTTGAAACAAGATCACCTATATTCCCACTAGTACAAAACATTGGTAGTGTCGACTATAGGTTACAAGACTCCATTACTTACTGAGTGCCCAAATTCAGTTGGTGTTGGACAAATTTATGGGAGTCAGAAACTTAATTATACTCCTTCCATCCTAAAATAACTAAAACAATCACATTTTCCGGTTGCCATCATTGAAGGGTAAATCAGATTGACTAAAGTCAAATACTTCACTGAACTAGGTCCAAAGTCAAACAAACATTGCATTTATTTTAGAACACATGGTAGAGACAACAGTACCTGTCCTCATTGAAGTAATCCTCCTCTTCCTTCTCGAGAGCTCGCTCATCTACACGTCTTCTAGAGTTCAATGCATATGGGCCAGTTTGATTGGTTGCCTGCTCCATGGCCTGCAGATCCAATTGTGATATAACAGAATTCCTAATTGCACATATACGAATCACATTTCAGATAGATGTATAGAAATACCTGCTCATATCTAACTTTAAGAGATTGAATGGAAGGTAAACTGTCAAATTGGACCAGCTGCTCCCAATATGTTTCAACTAAATATTTGAGTAGTATCTTCAGATTTTCCTGCATAGAGTTCACAATCAGATCAGACCAAATAGTACTAGCCATATGTCATAATACAAAACATCTGTGAAATGAATACCTTACGGATATACTCAAAAAGCTCCAAAACTGCAGAGTTCAATAAATTATAGCGACTTCCGTTACCAACAAAAACATCTATAATCGGTTTAAATAGATTGTTCTTTGCAATATGATTCATGAGTTGCTCATCCTGCAAAAAGTATCAAGAAGGATTACCATTCAAGCGCCTGAAAGATTCTACATAAACATATCGAGCTAAAAGTCAACAAGCATTTCATCATTATTATTCTGTAGTAGACACGTCATTATAGTTTTAAAAATATGAAATAAGTATATGCCAACTCAATTGAAATGTAGTTGGGCCTTCTAGCGCTGGAAAGGATGGAAATTAGCAATCTATGACGAATTCCACACATGATAGCAAATAACAATTATGAAATGTAAATTCATTGTGATGCATATATTCACATGGCTTTCCTTCAAAATGGAACGTATCGGTCTCGGTTTGTAGTGTCGGTGGCAATGCAGTAATAGCTCTAACTTGAAAAGCAGGAACGATTTACTTACCTTAAGTGAAATTAGAGTTCGAACAAAGCGAATAGCAGCAACCACAAGATATTTTTCCCTTCTACAAGTCAGACTTAAAACTTTCTCTATTACACCACTAAGCAAAAAATTGGACCTGCAAACCAGAAAAGGTAAAATGAATTAAACAAATCCCAATTTCCGAGACAAATCTAAAATACCACAGAAAGGTTAAGTACTTACTTTATCTTATAAGGATGTTGCAGAATGCAAAAGCATAAGAGGTCATATATGTTCAAAAGTATTTCAGGCTTTGCACTAGTTTGATTCCCAGAATTTCCATTGGAACTCGTGGATCTATGAACAGCCTGTGCAGTGCCATATGGAGGGCATGATGATGTTATGACATCAAGTAGTTGATCCAAGTGCCTCTCATAAAAAATATCAACAATAGCATCTCTCTGCAAAAAAATTGAAACAAAAGCATGCACATCAAAAGGAGGGCCGGATGCAAAGTGTTAGATTGAGGGGAAAAATTTCCAGTGAAGGGTAACTGCCTATTTCAGTGTAGTATTGTTTTCAGGAACAATAAAAGTACAGAATGTTATTGAAAGCAATTGAACATCCCTGTGTTCAGTGTAAAAAAATTTCATCCTAGAACTTCTTTGGAGGAAGGCATGCATTTAAATTATCAGCTTCTAACCACCAAGTGCTCCCAAAAGACCATGTAACCTTGTAGATAACATGTGGTTGTGTGTTCCTTTGATGCAAGCTCGTATGGGTTGCCAAGATTTTCATCCTAGAACGTTTGTGCAGGAAGTCATGCATTTACATTATCAGCTTCTAACCACCAATCAGATCCTAAAAGGCCATGTATAACCTTGTAGATAACATGTGGCTGTGTGTTCCTATAATGCAGGCTCTTACAAGTTACTGAGTTTTACAAAATAATTGTTCCGCTGTTGCCAACTATTAGGTATTAGAAAATGAATGCTCCAAAGTATCATGGTCAAACCGTTTTAACAGTTGACAGGATACCCCCTGTGTGTGCGCATATAAGTTGGCTGTAATATGATCCATAGCCAGAGGAGCGTTATGGATCAGTAACACATGTTTAATATTTTATTTGTCCTTTCAGCCCATGTCTCTGTGTTCTACAGAATACAATAAAAGAACAAATACAGTCAGTTACATAAGTACCTAGTATTTAACATAAGTATAAATTTCAACAAGATGTGGCCCATGTGTTCTATGATGCAGTGACAACCTCCATCCTCACCCCAACCCGTCAACCCCAATGGAAAGAAGTTCTACATGTGCACTTACAGAACAGAATTTACATTTCAGCTTTCCATGAAGAGATATAACTCATCATTAGATACCTAGCTTACGGTAACTAGAAAACTGATTGTACAACTTTGGCAAAAAGTTCAAGAGCCCAACCTGTCCTGCTGGAGAATAGGTATCCAAAAGACTTCGAATTATCTCAAGAAATTGGCAATGCATATCATCCCCAAAATCTTTAAGCATACCTTTTACCTGTCATGGAAGAATTATCTGCCTTTGTTAGGCTCACGACGACAGAAACATCATTTACTCCATCATAAAAAATCAGAACCATTGGAGAACAAATCAATATACTTCGGCAAATCATGTACAAAAGGGAAAAGGAGGGAAAAGGTCTGGGTCATATCACATCAAGATCCTACTAGCATTCACTGAACATCAACAGACATCAGTTATTTTGTTCTAGCAGAACCTAAACCTTCAATATGCCTGCTCACTTGCATACAATACATTAACACTATAATTTCACAGCTGCAGGGAAATGGATGATTTTTTTGAGAACAGATCTCCTACACAGGAAAAATAGTTTGGTCGATCATGTGATACAACAATACAACTAGAAAGATAATTGTGATCATAAAATAAAAAGACGTACATGGTAATTCTGCCCCCCAGAAGTGACAAACTACAAATCGTATGGGTTAATACCAACTGGCAGATTGGATTCTCCAACCTTACAATGGGGTACATAATCAGCACTGAATTATCAGAGCAAAACCCAAAAAGAACTTTATGCAGCCATTTACTCGCACAAGTTTCTTGATACCCTAGTTTGCACTACAAAGCCCTTTAAAATGTCGACCTTTTGTGAGAACCATTTCCCACTCCACAACTGTTCCATTGTCCAACAAAAAGGCATGATAAACGATAGGGGCACAGGAAAGAAGGAACTACATGTTAAAGATTTATGAGATAGATTGCTTTCTGGTCCAAAAACATGTAGGGCAAAAAACTTGAGGTGTCTTTTGCATTCTGTAATATATAGTTATAGGAGACATGGACGTGCCCTCAACCCGTAAAAAATATTGTGTTTTTCTTTTTATTTGCACACGATTCCTATGCATGCATCATATTTATCACCGTGCTTAAGAAAACAAGAACTTCTGAACTTGATTAGTAAAACTTTCATTATTCTTTCTTGCGCACCCTTTAATCCCCAGATCAGATGTATCTATTTCTTATAACATCCACATCATCAGTTGATGTGCAACTAGGCACACCGCTAGGTTTCTAATCATCAATCATGCTACCCGTGTACAACATAACTTCATCCTTGTTCATAAGCTAAAGAGGACAAAAATAGAAAAGAAGACAGCTTAAGACAGCAAGAAGGACCAAAAGAAGTCACTGATGGTAGCTTTCCTTCTAGCGATTGGTATAGAACCAAATGTTCCTTCTTCTTATATAAATACTAGAAGTGTACTTACGCATTGCAGCACCATCCAATTTCAATTTTGAAGCCGAAAACTCGAACCCTCAATCTTGTTTCATGTTTCGTTCTACTTTTCTGTCTCTCTTGATTATTTTAATTATGATTGCGTATATTTGAGAGAGTGAGAATCATCGGTTGGTTATGAGTTCAATAAAGTACAATGCTTATTAGTATAACTCGATGTTTATCTTACACTTGAAAGGCTTATTAGTCGGTTGGTTAATTTTAGGAAGTTCAAACATGGAGCTATAAAAAGTTGTGTGTGCAATATTAAGTTGTAAACTTTAGAAGAAATTTTAAAAAATCGAGTAAATGTCATATGAGATAGTATGGTAGTATGAACATAGCCGCATGTGAACATACGTGTGATCAAAATTTTCAAAACCCGGTTACAAATATTGGAAAAATATATATCATATGGATATCAAATTAAAGATAATAAAGTACTCGTTTCTATATAATTTTAATTAAAAACTTTTTGTATTCTCGATTAAGAAAATGAGATAAATCTATGAAGTTTATCAGTTAGTTTTATTTAGTTCAAACATAACATTTTAAGAAGTTACATGTATGCTATAATAACTTGTAACCTTGAATTTTAAGATATTTGTATTAATAAACGGTACTCAATACTTGATAACTTGTTCTTCTGAGTTCTTACCAAATGCTATAAAATATAGTAAAGATAAATGATATATGAAGATTTGCATCCAGTGCTTAACAAGCCTCCAATATCAATGTAAGAAATGCAATTATGTACACATGATATCTTACATACCAAAAGCCCAATCAGTGAGACACCTTCCTGCCGACTAACATACGAACGCAACAAGGTTGGATCCTGGCTCACAAAAAGCATGAGGATGTCTGTCCTGCATCCATTAGATTTTCCTACTATAAGTACTAACTTAGGAGTCTATTAAAATGAAACGCATCAGGGAATGAGAGATACAAACTGTTTACCCAGTCAGAATGAGCTTCTTATCTTGACTCTGAAAAATATCAGCAATCACATCAAATATGCCTTCATTCACGAGATCCCTAAAGCATCAAAACATGCAGACCTTGTTACAAATTTAGAATGCATACATAGTGTTAAAGTTGAAACAATATCAGGAAGCATACCTGAACAAACGGAGTTGCTGGACCATCTGCAAGCTCTTGCTTAAATTACAGAATTCTTGCAAGAAATACACCTATATCATAAAGAAAATAAATAGTTCTTCAAGAAAAAACTTCTATGATACTTATCTGATCTTGAAATATCAGGGATGTACTAACTAGTGATGACACCAACTGACTGGGGAATAAGGAAAGAGGCAAGTAAATATTAAACCAACTGTAACAAGCATACAACCCAAGTTATGTATGTAGCAATAGAAAATGGACTTGCAAGTTTTGAAGAAAACGGAACATAAAAAGCATCAAGAATCCTTGTTTACCAAATTCGTCTTGGATTCAGGAGCTGTGGAAGGGGATTTTAACCTCGCAAACAACTCCTTGATAAATGTGGTATCATCTTTCAACAAAGTGACAACCTACCCAGGAAAAGAACAAATATCAGATATAGGATAACAATCAAGGCTCAAGATTGCAGAAGTGAAATGTAATAGCCTCACCATTCCATTATTTGAGTGAATTATGGAATTCATGCTTGCAAATGTGGCCTCATCCAATACTCTAGGCAAAACAACATCCTAAGATAAGTAAAATGTGTTAGAATTTCACAATAGAGAATAAGAACTAATCTATGAGGTAGCATTCAAGATTTTACCTTGAGGTAACTGATTCTATATGTTTGATGTATCTTTGACAAAGCTAGGGGATCCTTAATTGGTATGGCCTACATGAGTGTGATGTCACAAAAAAATAATAGACTATAAGATGTACTGAAAGAAGTATTTCTTTTGTTCTCCATCATCCTTGGCACATAGCTGTCAGTAAAAACATGGTAGAAACAATTACCTCCTTGAATACAACATGTTCTTTTAGAAAGTTGCGATGATGGACGTGAGGTACATCAGGGTCATCTGCACAAGAATATAAAACAGCAACCATGAGTTATATTCTAAAGCAATAAGCTATAACTATCCAACTAACCAAAAGAAATAACACAATTGCACACAAAGAAAAGTGCTCTTTTCTATGCTCATTGCTCCTTAACACCTGGTTGAGTAAAAGCACCTAATGAATCAATTTCCAATCTTGGGTATCTATAATCAAGTGCACAGAAGCAACATCTTGAAATATTTTCAAGAGCATCACTTCGAACAAAATGGTTGTGTGTCACCACATTTGTATAATATCACATATTTTGAAAGTTTAAACAAGATGACACTTATTACCATGGACTTGAAAGTTAGGCCACTTGGATTTTTTTTCCTCGAAAATGTTCTGATTTCTATCTCATATAAATCATATACTTTATCACTGGGATCGTACTGATAAATCATTTTTTTACAAGAGTGCCACAATTAAAATTATAGTAATACCCATCCTCTTCCTGGAACAAGCACCTATACACGATATCTATAAGAAACAAAAAAAAAGAATCATATATGAATACTAAGAAATAAGGCAAGCCTAATCACGCTCGAGAGCATGTAGTACAATGCATGAACATGATAGAGGGTGAGGAAGAAGAGGAAAGCTTGTATTGCAGGTATTGAGGTGTATTCTAGAGTGCCACAGGATTGTTTTGCTACTTATAGTTTCTCAGCAAAACAAACCAAACAAAACGAAGCTAGAAAATATATCACATTTAGTAGGGTCTGGGGAGGGTAGGAGGTACACGGACCTTACCTCTACCTCGGAGGGGTAGAAAGGATATGAAAAAATGATTTTACGACCAAAAAATGGTTTCGAAAGTCTGAAGAAGTTTGAGAAAGAAGAAGTAGATCATAAAAAGTACATGATAGGAACACAGGTAAAGATGGTCAAAGAATCAGTAATATGAAAGAATAGAGCATGCAAGGACAACAAAGGCCTTCGAAAAGATACAAAAACCACTAAACTAACTGAAAATAAAGTGATACATTGCTGTCGACTCTCTAACCCTCCCCCGCCCCACCCTTGACCTCTCCCACCCGTTCTCTAACCCAATTATCCACAAGTCCTTGCACACAATTCGCTACCCCGATCCTGCGACTCTACAAACCCCTATCTAAGGTCATGTCTTCTGAAATGTCTAAAGCCGCCATGTCCTATCGCAGTTGCTCATTCCACATCCTCCTCAACCTACCCCTCCTCACACCCTTGACTCTAACACTCTCCACGCTCCTTACCGGCGTTGACAACTGTCTCCTACGAACCAAACCATAGCGGTCTTTCCTCTCTTAATTTTATCTGTATTAGATGCTACTCAACTCTGTTAAAAAGACCTTGTTCAGTATCCTGTCTAGCATGGTCTGTCCACAGGTCCATCTGAGCATCCACACTTTAGTTGCCTCTATCTTCCTCTTAAGTGCCTTCTTCATCATACAACACATCATATCATACAACATAGTTGGTCCAATAGTTTCTCAGCAAAATACACCAGATGATGAATACAATATAGTTGATAGAGGCCAAGAAACCAAGAAGAAATAATACTCGTAACATATAAAAAGGGATGACATATCAGCGTTTGTTGCAGGTGCTATTTCTGGAGAATGAATTAGGCTGGATGACTCAAGACAGATGAAAAAACTCGAGTTGAATGTTTTGAAAAACTATGCTCTTCTACAACTCTGATCATATCATATGACACAATCATTTCTAAGCCACAAGCATAACACAGCACATACAATCTCCTCCACGGCCTTTGTCCCGTTTCCTCAAGCATGTATCTTAGCTCAATTAAATGTTGCTTTAGTCAAGTCCTCTTGGAAGAAGTTTTTGACATAAAAATTCACCTCTGTCAAAGCATTGCCGACATAATGATCAAGCTGGGAGGAATTGTATCAAAGCAAGGGGGCCTTCTTCCTTTGCATGGAATACTCTACTCGCCTTAATGCTCTCACGACCTTACTTATCTAAGCAGCTTAATTACCCTAATTTATCACACCTAAACAAGATTCCCCATCCCCAACTCTCCAATAGGCTCAGCAGAAAAGGTTTTTCGCATTCTTAAATAATACCAACCAAAGGTTCTCCAAATGAAAATTCAATGCCTTCTCAATGTATCCCAATATAATTAACCTTCAGAATATGGCTCTGCACTGCAATAAAAATAATAAATAATACCATGTTTACGTTTTATAATTGTGCTACTAACTATAGAGCGTATTTGGTTTTCTAAATTACAAGAGGAAATCAACCTACAATTCATAATCAGGTTGAATGTTCATCAACGAAAATGAACGGACTTCAATGTAGTACCGCGTTGAAAGTTCCGGATGACATAAACTGTAAATATGTCTTTAGGAGAACTTGAAATAGAGACAAATATCTATCAAGTTACTTCATTTCTGTTTCAAAATTTCCCATTGGGGTGTAATGCTCTAGCCTAGTTAATCTCGTTATGTATACTGATGGTTCTTTCTTTCGACTTGTAGTGACTTCATAATCTATCTAATTCTTTCTGTGCCTAACATTGTCACGCCTGGTATTAACACCCTTGAATTTGTGTGATGTCATATATATATATATATATATATATATCCATTTGTGTAATTAACTATTCTATTTACCCAATTTTAAGCCTTGGGCCATGACTCAACTTTTACAGACAATTTTGAAGTACACTGTATTACCTATACCTCCAGGCTCTTGCCCATCACCTTGACTAACCTTCGACCATGCCTACACAGTCTGGAACACTTCTAAACCAATTTGCTCTATTTACACAATAGACTTGTAGAGAAAACGTAAGAGTTCGCTTCGCATTTACAATATAATGGAGTCAAAATATTTGTATTCGTGGGTAAAATGATGACCATTATAATTCCTTAACGAGCATGATGATTAGAAAGAACTAAAAGAGAGACAAGATTCAAAAGCAATTCCTTTATGTAAGCCACTAGAACTAAAAGAGAGACAAGATTCTAAAGCAATTCCTTTATGTAAGCCACTTAGACTCAAACTAGCAATTAAGGCATAATTGTGTTAATATTTTAATGCGTTCAGTAAGATGAACAACCATACTTATTCCCAATACACATAATGATTAGAAAGAATAAAACAAGAGACAAGCATGAATTCGGAACTATAACCACAAAGCCACACACCCAAAGCATCAAACTTAAGACAGAGATACAACTTACACTCAAGACATCCCACAATATCCATGATTAATTCATCAGAAAATATTTTCTCAAAGATCTGCGGACTGTTGAGAAGAACTGCAGTAAGAATTTAAAATGTCAGCACCTCCGGAAAAAAACAGACTTCTTCAATACCGATTATAAAGTATGAGTTTAGGTATTAACTGATCCCTCTGACAATTTTGTATATTATGTGAAGGCCATCATAGTTCTCCAAATCTTCGCACACTCTGAACAAATCCATCAACTTCCGGAAAAACTTTTGCTGCACAAGTTATAGGTCCATAAAACTCTATGAGTCCATGAAACTCTTACATACCACAAGACTTCTAAAGATTTACGAAGCATTAACCTTAGAATTGAAAAACAGAGGCTAAGCATTTAACATGTAATGGAGATAAAGAGGATATATCGTATTAAGTTCCATCCTTAATAAACACCAACATCTAAGCTCAACAAGGGCACTGCACAGCCAACCATGTCTTATGCAGATCAGGTCAAATATGACTATTATACCTCCTTCATGCAGTATAACTGAGAATTGCATAATTTAGTTGTACTAAGAATCTGTGTAGCATTGTTCTTTTATGAAGTAGAAATCAATACGAATGTTCCACTGGGGTTAATGAACAGTACATACACCCAACTAGGAAGAGGACGTCATATAGACTGGGGAGACTATTACCTTTTACTCACTCCATACTAGCATTCCTAACTCTTGATGGATACGATATTTTATGTAAACATTTGCTTCAGCAAAAAGACTCTTACGCAAAAAATGAGCAAATATACATGCATCCACAATTAGACAGAGAGGCCATACACAACACTCAATCTAGATATCAATGCAAGTCCTCCCAATATTTTTTTAGATTATTTTCAACTTTCAAGACAGAGATACTGTACAACCATTAAAATCAAACTCCTTGAGATTTTAATTACAAAATTCAACCTGATCTTATGTAATAATGACATTAGGTCTTGGTTGGCAGAGCATGCCCTATGAAACATGACTAAACATTTAGTACTCTACGCACAAACACTGAAGAGGATCTAAAGACAATTTTTAGCTACATAGTCATTATGGGGATATATCATTGTCTGTAATAAAATGTTCGCACTTTACACCGCCCTGTTGAGCCCTATAGCAACTGACATTATTAATTTTATGAATTCATGGCAGTCCCTGCTTGCACATGGAAGTAGACTGTAGCTATGATTCTTTCTTGATCATCTACAGAGAGGAGAATCACATCTACTTGGGACTACCTATCAATTCTTTAAGAAAAATATGATCTATGTCTTGACTACTTAGTGGAGTCTGCAGAGGTCCGCAATGTCGTTCTTCCTTTTCACATTCTATTGGCGGATGTCAAGACACAATTCACTGATTGGTTCTTAGTTGTCTCCCTATTCTTTTCTTGAATAAAGTTTTTCTTCGCTGCAAGCGTATCAACAATCTTATATATAAATAACAGATGTCACATTATGCTAGATTAAAGAAACATCTGGCTTGGGGTACAGAACAAAGATATCCTCCCAATGTTTCTTATAAGTTAAGCGTCTCTTATTGCATTCTTGGTCTCTACTCTATACATCTCATTTTAATATCAAGAAAATCACTGGCAACATATGGGATGCAACATCCAGGTAAACTGACAGACATGCAAGTTTCTCTAAATCTACCGAGTAGAGAGAAATTGAGAATTGCATACATCGTGTAGTATGAGTTCTGTCACACATAACTGATCAGTAATGCTACTGTCAACCACAACCTGCAAGAGAAAACAATCATACACAACGGTTAAGGGATAACCAGGAGACAATTTACTTGGTTAACAGTGGATACATATTGAAAGTGAACATACCAAAACAATCCACTGTTGAGAAAGGAGTTTGCTTCCAGAAACTACCATAAATTTCAAAATTCAAAACAAAAATATACTTGGATTTTTAGTCCGAACCTTAAGTATTGAAGGAAGTGTTGACAGCTCTACCTCAGGCAACTCCCTCAACTCACTGTTAGCACCATGATATGTCTCATCTGAACAAATAATATAATATAATTATATAATACCAACTTACATAGCATCATGAAAGCTGTACCCATTTGAAATGATGTAGAATAATACTAGCAAAAAAAATCATTCTACATGTGCAAAGAACTCAAATTTACACAGTTTTGAGATCCTACTTCCACCAATGACTTTTTAGCGGATACTTAAATACAAATAAACACAGTTGAGAAGTTCTATTGATAATGTAATGTCTTGCAACAAGATAAAATCTTCAAACTAAGAACTTCATCCACATGGATATAACTCTGGAGGGAAATCCATAGTTTACACCAAGGGTATAAGAGAAACCTAAGAATATTTATTAGAACTTTTATCAATGCATCTCTTGAAAAAAATAAGAACTTGAAAAGGAATATGACCTGCATGAAAGACAAATTAAGCAAGTTCCTAAAGAAGACATTTGTACTTCAAGACAGAAGTGAACAAGTTAACTTTAAAAAAGTTGTACTCCAAGAGTCCTAGTTCCACTTGTCTAACAGCTTTTGATGACTTCTTGAGAGCAACCTAAATGTCAAAACAAATTCTTAATCCCCCTCAAGTATTTGATTCTCCCCCATTGTGGATCTGATACTGGAAGCTTGCATGTGCTAATACCCACTTCAATAAATTGTATATTCAGATGTCATTATTTAACCACCATAGATACAATGCAGCACCTTAAAAATATTATAAGAACTCATACGACCTCAGATCAAAGAAATTATAGTATTTCATTTGCTAGGTGATCACCCTCATCACTTAACGTTTATAACTAACCAATCACTTCACATCCAAAACCATCGCCATGCATGTCATAATCCAAAGACCCTAAAAGGTCTAGCTTGTGATGATAAAAAGAAAAAAGGAAATATAAGAATAAACAGCACGATAGCCACCAGTTCCCCTTTAAAAAAAATCTACCCATCCTTGATGAAATCATTGAAGAACTAACGTAATTAGAAATCTGGCCTGCGGTAAGCCGATATTCTATCAGATTTTCCAGCAATTCATATGGATAAATAACCACAATAAGTGGATAACTAAATGCACATATTCTTCATGCATATGCTAACACGTGGACTATTTAGAATGACATTAGGTCAAATGGTCAATCTGGGCAAAGATACACTAAGTAGATACGATAGGTCGCAACAATGTCAATCATTCAGTAGGAACTATTCAAATTTTATAGGAAGTAGTTAAAGTCCTTTCACAAAACATTTATAAACCAGTATCAGCAAGACTGAAGGATACAAACAACAAATATTTAATTTTAAGTCACTGCTAGGGTGCCTTGATACGAACATGTGAAGGTGGTGACACGAGGGAACAACAATAATAAGATGGTTGGACATCAAGGCAATACATTCATTACTAACTGATGAAATATACCTCGACATTCTGAGGTTGAACATCTTGGTGCCTGTCACAGAAATTAAAAAATAGGGTCCTAGCAAGTTTGCAGACAAAGACGATGGTTTTCAACATTTTTTATCAAGAGTTCTAAGGTTGATTTTTATAACTTTAACCTGAAACATCTGGTAACAAAGTGGTATTGCAATAAATCAAGATTGATGAGGCCACGTAATCACAATGAGAGATCCAGAACCAATAGATTGAGGTTTTCTATGAAATTTGAATGCAGAACGACAAACAATTCCACAAAGACAAACAGAAGAGAAGAAAACAAGAAAAAGTTAATAAATAAAATCGGTGGTTCCACACATCTTAGTCTACAAACTAATTGTAAGTAGCGCAGTTAAGAGCCAACCAGTTTGGAAAAAAAATCTTGCTAATTAAAGCCAAATTGAGTCTGAAAATTTAAATTAATAATCAAGCTGCCGCATGGTCATAAAGTTTATGCCACAAAGCAGAAATAGGCCAACTTTTAATATCAAACACAACCAAGTTTGCATGGAACATTGACAGGAAAGAGAATGAAAAAACAAAGATAGAAAATTATCACACTTGCTTCAGTAACAAATCACATAATAAAGACTGAGATTCAACATATAAAATCACAAGCACTTACTGCTGAGAGTATTAAAATGCAGATTCCGCTGCACATTGCAAATATGATCCCTGGATAAAATATCAATAAAAAATCAATGCAACTAAAACGATCAAATCATAAATAAAAGAGAAGAACATACAAGAATAACCATTGAAAAGATAATTTATTTACTGTTTACCATATGTACGAGCACCCTGTAGTCTCTTGAAAGCTAAGAGCTAAATCACTTGAATACTCTGAATCCCTCCACGATATTATTGTATCTAGAATAGCAGAAGGAAACAACAACAAAGAAAAAAAAAACAGAATCTTCAGCTAATAAGCACAAGTACATGATCAGGCGGACTTGTGCAGACCAGTGGCAAGCAGAATCAGAGGATAATTAGGACTACAGTATGTTTCTAAAATTAGAAGTACCTTCTTGTTTTCTATATATATCATCTGAACTAATGCGGTGCACAAGCAATGTTTCATTGTCTTCTTCATCAATGACAAACAAACCCAAATCTTCAGATCTCTGATTTAGATTAGTTTAAGTGTCACTTTGAGAAAGTTACTTAACGCAGGAAACTTCAAGTTCATAATAAAAATGGTTTTACATGTTTTAGAAACCAAATGATGACAAACCTCCAAATAGTCGATGGTGACATGACCAGTTCCTTGATCATCCCATTTTCCATCATCATTGAGTCGGTATACCTTAACACGCTACATGAAAAAGGTTACAGGAAGAGCACTGTTCAGTCAATAAGAGATACCAATACTAAAGTGCAAAGCACACAGATAAAAGAAATCTACAGAAACCAGTAACAACAATAAAGACAGACTGCCTTCCATAGCAAACCAGCTGGAGTAGACAAAAAAGGAGCCCACCTATAGTGAACCAAGCTCAAAAGCTTCGACAATGTAACTAATATCACTTCATAACAACAACTTAAAAATAGAGGCCCTCCTATATGAAACCAAGTCATATGGTAAAGATTATTTGTTGGAACACAATTGTATAAACAGAAAATGGTCAAGGAAGGCATTCCTATGCTGATCAATGATCTTGTAGAACATTCTGGATTTGGCAGATAGTAACGTAATTCAAGAATGAAAGGTTGTACTGAAAATAAAATCATCCAACGTCTGTCTGATATCTTTTGCAGATAAACACGGTGAAGTACAGTTCCTCGGGCAAAATGTATTTGGCAAGTACTAGTTATGATATCGATATTTCAAGTCGGTCTCTCAATGCTGAGTTCTTGCTGAAATAAGATTCAGATATAAACTTCCATGCCATATATTGTAGTTAGCTCATAGCCTTATGATTAGACTTGTGTTGAACTACAGAGATCCATATGATCAAACTGATTTTTCCTCTTGTCATGTTTGTAAAGAAGATATCATGCCTTTGATAAAGACATACAAACTTGTGAATCAAAAAAGAAGATCCTCTATGCCCAGGTACACTAAAATCAAAGTTCCTATATTAGACATGGAAAGTAATAACATCAACTTGTCAGGCAACCAAGTAATGCTTGATAACAGATCAGCTTACAGCCTAACCTTGTCAAAGCATTTTAACAGCTGCATATCATATATGTATGGTATGATAATTTATTCATATCCAATTGCCCAATGGACCCATAAGTAATTATCGTCGATGCAGGGAACACCATGGCATAAGATATGGATCTGTCTAGTGTCTAAAATCTAGAAACTGCAAGAATATCCATTTCCCCAGCTTTAATTTTGCATCAGTCAGTTGGTTTTTAGGGAGAATGAACAGATGTACATGCAAGTGTATATTGCAAGGAAATAACAAATGTATGTTCTTATTAACACAGATGCAATAGTTACTTGTTGTAGTATCTAGGCTTCAGCTATTTCTTAATGCTAATGTTACTACAAGAAAACAACTAGAGTGAGGTAATTGTAGTGCTTATCAGACATGTCTATAGCAACTAGCAAATGCATGTGAAAGACGGTGGTCATTCTATGGAGGTGGCAAACAATTTCTCCAATAATGACAAAACTAAGACACCATTACTTGAAAATTATGTGTGAACACATCCTGCATGCAACTGATATATATATATATATATATATATTGTGTTTTATTATGATCATATGGTCTTTGGTTCAAGCTTTTTACCCAGATACATAGTACAATTAAATATGAAAACCAGTGCTACAAAACCACATTTAAAGAAGCCTGTTTCACTTAAACCAATAGTTTTATGACAATTAAATATTCAAAATGGGGCAACAAACATTACAAGAAAGTTGCACAATGAGCATGCATTGCCAGAAATGTTGTCAGGGAGTTAATTTATCACCTGAATCTAAAAGTAATGATGGTTAAGATGCTCGTTTCTAGATCATGTTTTCCACCAAAGGCACAAACTTATGTACCCATGCAGACCCTAATCTTTTGAAAGAAATTATTTTCTTTAACTACATGATAAGAAAGGAAAATAAGACAAAAACGAGAAGTAGAGCTGACATGGTCAAACTTATAAAGCTAATAAACACCATAATTAACTAATTAGCAATAATAAGCAAGCAATGTCCCCTCTCACGAACCGGCATTGCAATCAACATGGAGACCATTCACCAACTCTTTATCAACTTAATAACCTGCCTCATCACGCTAACTTGTGCGGGTGAGTCACCCCCCAAGCCCATACAAAAGAGAAGATACACCAATGGTAATGAAAAAATAGAGAAATTTAATCTTGATTTATGCATGCAATTCAAAGGAATCCTATCCATCCATATGTAATTAAGAGCAGTTAATGACAATATAAATTCAATGTCTTGTCAGGAATCCTCTAGATCAACCTGAAAGAAAAAATCAGTCGCCTACACTGTTGTAGCCAAGGCCACACCCACATGTTCCACTCATGCAGGATGACAGCAAGGCAGATACAAAGTTATGTATGTTTTAACCACCAACCAGAACAATAAGAAAACCTCACCTCATAATCTGAAACTGAGTATGTTAAGATCAGGATAAAGGAATATATACGAGACAAAATTAAGAAGTTGAGATGCAACAACATAGATAAATATAGGGCAGACCAGCAGAGAGATTGCGTGTTAGAAAAAGGACAGAAGGTTTCTACTTGTATCATTCATATGTTAAGAACAATGTTTTCATTTCTAAATTAGGGGTACGGAATCATATTGATCATTTCTACCACCTACTTATAACTTGCAGGTCTACCACAGCAGGCATCACAGACAACAAATTCAAGTGACAGCATCCACCCCAAATCCATGACTTAGACCATCCAAAGTCCAGCAAAGTATAAAAACATATTATAACAGATTAAGAGTCTCCCCAAATACTCCGGCATTCATTCCTTTTCATATAGATAGGGTAGCCAAACTAAGGTCATCTTATAATACTTTATCTCGATATTAAGACTTGAAAGGCTTCAACAACTTAATAAAGGGGATAATAGACTGCAAATAAACCCAAAAGCACATGTAGTTACTAGTGATCAGCATTTCAAGCATACCCCCTTATAGAGAATTATAGCTAAATACTTGCTAACACAACCGCAAAATTGTAATAGCAACTCCAAGGAGTGTCAGCCATATATTCCAAAATTTTAGCTAAAAACACTACTCCTAGTAGAAGATTTCAATTCTAAAGTCGCAATGTTACACACACCCCACTACAATCCTTACCAATTCCAACGCATGGCTCAAGTAGAATGACCCGAGTACAAGCAAGAAGTTATTGAAACAGCTTTATACCAGTTGATGAAACTAACTCGTACAATTATGTCTAGCAATATCATCATCCAAAGTTTTCATCTCAAGATATAACCCACAAGAACAAATTTTGGCTTCTCTCTTAGCAAGGCCACAGCCATATGAACTCCTCAACATGCATTTTGCATATAAAGAAGTTTGGTATTTGTAAACTGTAAAGTAGTGACAACAACTATACTTGAACAGATCAAAATAACTCCAAATTTCATTGGCTATTATACTATCTTCACAAGATACTAGTGGCATTTCAAATTTCTGTTCTTGATTATGTTCCTATTTCATTGACTATATGCTCAAGCTCCACAAAGTAAGTAGTGCTTTTGCACTTTAACCTAGCTGTCTAGTTGATTGAACTACCAGAAGGGCCACATTTCTCATTTTGCATTCTAAAAGCAAACACACCAGTGTAAGAACAAATGAAAACCCCATAACAGCAGTGCATCACTTTCATGTGCTACTTACCATCACCCAACTCTATGCCAAATCAAATGAACCCTACTGGAATGGGATGATCATAGGACATGTTTGCATTAAAAATCATGTGAAGATAATTCTAAGCTCCAAACTAAAATTTGAGAGCAATTAAACTTCAAAAAAAGCTACCAATTCCTTTCTAGGGCTAAGAAAAATCAAAACTGCAGTCTTCAACACAAAGCAACTACCCTTCCCTGGTTTCAACTGACCCAACCCAACTCTATCAGTCAAACTCCATCAATAGAGAACCAAGTCGCGTATCCATAACGAATTAAACAAACCATGCTATATGCCGCTACGTATTTTTTTCCGATATCTGCCAAACACACTCAGCTAGACCTTAAAAATAGACATCCAATGAACTCGAAAAAACTTCAACCCCGAAAGAGAGGCATAAATAAGAATCCAGGAAAAGAAAAGCAACAGAATTATGTGAAGACCAGTAAAGAAAAAAAAAGCAACTGCGCTGACCTGCATCGAATTATTGTTAGAAGTAGTTGTCTTCTCCGGCGCACCCATGACAAGTCCCACCGCTTTTCCTCAGAAATCGCAAGAAGAAGTTGAAGATGATTCTTGCAGGATAGGCTAAATTAGGGTTTTTTGCTAAAGAAATCCAACAAAGGGAGAGGGAGACAGAACACAAGAACGGAATTGAATGAAACAGAGGTGAGGAAACTCGATTACACAGATACCCTAACCGCCATTGACGTAGCAGTAAGCCCCTCTCTCCTCTCTCACCTCTCTCAAGCCTCTTTTTCCTTTTCTTTTTTCTTTTTTCTTTTTTATTTTGGCTTCTGTAGGAAGAAGAGGAAGCATCCGTGCTCACCCCCGACTCTTTTTCTTTTCCTTTTCTTGATCGACCGAATGTACAAAATCTGATATTTCGACGTCTAGAATTTAATCGCACCAAATATAAGGTAAAATTTGTTATGAGTACAATGAATTAATAATTAATAACTAGAAGAATACTCGTACAATGTAGTAAGACGTATTTCGATTTTAATGTTTTATTTTATTATTTGTTTTTATCGATGTTATAATATGATTTTATGTGTTTTTAAGAAAATAATAATGATTTTATTTTTGAATAATAAATTTGAATATATCATAAAAATTTGAAAAAATATATATATATCAATACTAATATCAAATCAACTATTTAAAAGTTCTTGTTTTTTATGTAATTTTTTTAATTTATTTTTTTATTATAATTTAATTTAAGTTTAATAACGAAATAATTTATTTTTGGTTTAATAATATAACATTTTATAAAGATAATAATTAAGTATTCTGTTAGAACTCAATTATTATCCTGATTATATTTTAGATTTTTTATATTTAAAATGAGATGTTTATCATGTATTTGATTATGTTTATCTGCAGTTAGTTACACGAATTCAGATATGAAGTTTTAATAAGTTGTACTTATGCACAATCTACTTGCAATCTTGAGTTTTAAGTAATATGTGTTAATAAACAGTACTTTACGCATAAAAAAATGGTTTTTAATAGTTTTTGTCAAATGTTTTATAATATAGTAGAAGAGTACTCGATCTTGATTTTAATATTTCATTTTATTTTTTATCTCAGTCGATTTTATAATATGGTCGTATGTGATTTTGAGAAAGCGATGATGTTTTTATTTTTGAATAAAATATAAGTTTGAATATATCATAAAATTTTGACAAAAATATATCAATATTAGTATCAAATTAACTATTTAAAATTCCTATTTTTTTTTAAGTTTTTAATTC